CGGTTCATTACCGGTTTTGGGCGGCGATTGCGCACCATGGCAGGACATTCGATGAACATTTTATTGAAACACTCGTAAGGTTCATGTTTTGAGTTTACGTGTGTTACTGAGTAGATTTTATTTGAAGGTAATAACAACACTGCGATGAAAAACATATTAAAATTTTATATGTGCAATACTTATTCTAACACAACTGTCCACGTTTGGTATTTTATCAGATTTAGTTTTCGTGCCTATGTATAAAACCTTTCAAATGTAAATAAGCTTGGATAGTAAAACTACAATACGTATGGCACACGGTTCAGAGGACACATTTGGCTCGGGGTCGCCCGGCTGCGTCACGTTCGCGTCAACGTTAGCATTTCTTTTGTGAACGCTCCAAATTGCTCACATAAAACTCCCAGACCTGTTTTGCTACGTGATGTCTTCAGTATTTTTACTGCCTGTAACACTCGATATATTCTTATCAGCTGTACGAGGGAACTAGGCTCGTCCCTTTTCCATACTAGAAAAAGAAAATCGTAAAAATATATTGTTGTCGAGTCCGCCAGAAAGTGTACAAAGAAATATAAATGAGCCGCGTTATTCCAAGGCAGGGAACTTTCCGAGTTTCGTAATTAATGTTGCAAGAAGATATCGCAGGGAAAAGTTTTTTCATCACGTTCCGCGGAGGCAGTGTTGTAATGAGCGCCCCCGCGGCGTTACATCGTAAAAACACCATACAACTTAATAAATAAAACTGGAATTCGTGAAGATTTATCACGAGGCCCATATTGCGATTCGTGACTCGAGCCCGAGGCGTGTTTTTGCCGCGTATCTACGAGGATAAGAAGTGGCTGTAAAAAATAGAGACGTATATGTCATAGAGCAGTTCGCCTCATATTTACAAAAGTCTTCGTATGAAATATTTTGACATTTCTTGGTATAAGCGCGCGGGAACGAGCACGGCACGCGGGTGTTCCTTCGTGGAAACAATCTTGATACATATCGCATGTGATCTACACATGGTAGTTGTACATTGTACACAATAAGTCAACGAGTACATGAAACATTTTTGAGAATAAAGCAGCAAGCACGCACAAAGTCTTAAAGTATTTCGAATATCATTACTCAAAGTATGAATTTTTATGGGGAATTCTCATGAAATAAATACGTATTTCCTGTTAAACTACCTTGATAAATTGACCTAAATAACGCGATGCCTGACGGAATAATATATGGATGCAGTCAGCTTACGTTGATATAATAAACGCTCTTTATAGGTGGTAGACATGAAAACAAAATTTTAGTTTCATGTTATGCGTCTAATACTTGATCAATATATCTAATTAATAAAGTAATTTAACTATTTAAAAATACGTGGTTTAGGCAACGGGTTACCGGGGCTCCGGCTCGAAGTACAGGAGTAGGAACGGGTTGGTTTTTAGTCAGTAAGAGTCTGACACTACCGGGCGGGAGAAGTCATTGGACAATTTTCCCCCGCCAAAAGAAAGATATATGGAATTGAACAAAAACAATTTAATTTATAAAAATGAAAAGGGTAAATACTCCTTACCTTTCCATACGTTGATTTAAGGATAGAAATCTTATGAAAACATTCGTAATTTTGGTCTTAGCTATAATTTATTCGGTAGAAGTAATTCGATGATTTTCCCCCTTAAAAAAGATATATTTATTCTATATTATGCTTACCTACATAGTAGGTATATAGAGTTTAAAATTCGATCACAAAGCTTTGTATATTCAGTACACGTATTGGGGCGCAGGTGATGCTGCGAGATACACGGTCCAAGTTTTATTGTTATTCCCACTCTGCGAATTGAATTTGAAACAAGCGAGTGCCTCGATCAATACTAGACCGTGTTCAAGAGAGCAGGTTATGTATCAAAGCTCACTTATATATTAAGAAATACAGACCATTATGTGCCTTATGTAATAGTAAATAGAAACTGCTTCTGATTGGGAAATTTATGTTTCGATCTCACTATAAATTATAGTCTTTGATAGTCACATAGTTTGTCAATATTTCTTTTTCTTTTTTTTTCTTTTAAAAAAACGTTGCCCCACACTAGGATTATCTCTTGTGTCGTGGGTGCGTTTACAAACATACAAGTTCACATACACAATGACACCAGACCCGAAACAACAATTTGTAAATCACACAAAGTGTTGTTCCGTGCGGGAATCGAACCCACGACACGTTGCACGGCAGCCGGTTGCCCAGCCACCGCACCAACCGTGCAGTCTAGTAATTATGTTATTGCACTTTCCTATTCCTCAATAGCAAATAATTTGCAATCATACCTACTCCTGGTTTGCCCAATAATATACTAAATCCTGAAATATAATATGATGTTCTAAGCTTTATCCTAAATGCACTCTACCGTGAATAAGTAACATTGTACCTATGTAGGTATGTAACTTATCATCAGTATGACATAAATACAATGGAGATAGCAGTTTTTCACATAAATTTTCACGCTACGCTAAACGCACAAAATACCATATCATTGTAAATTATATTAAAGAATTTCTTTACCCACTTCACAGACACAATGACTAGAAATTTTAACCAAAAGAAATTACACTTAAGCAACAACAAAAGTGTCATTGAATTAATGAATTCTACGCCTATTATATTTTACGCCACCAGATAAGTAGTAAAATAAACAGCTAATGTGGGAAATAATTTTATTATCTAAAAGTCTTAAGTTTAATTAAAATCCGTATAAATGGCGCTTGCAGTGACTAGAGAGTGAATTCCATTTACGATTGAACTCGAAATAGAATTTTATTTTACATTTATAGCTAACCTAATTTTAATTTGGCTTGACCTAAAGGGTCTAAAGTAGAATTTTCGGGGTCGTGCGGTCCATGGCCCTCTACGGCGCCCCTGTTTGGGCGCCGAACTTGTTGCGGCGTCCTGCTCGGACGCTGCTCAAGTCACAGAGGGTCATGGCGATCCGAATGATCCGCGGATACCGCACGATCGCTGGGGAGTCGGCGAACCTCCTTGCCGGATTACCGCCGTGGGATCTGGAGGCGAAGGTGCTCGCGCGCGTGTATAACATGCGCGCGGAGGCACGTCGCCGGGGCGAAACTCCGCTGCCGCGCCAGATAAGTGCGTGGCGGGATGAGCTCCGGCGCGATCTCATGGCGGAATGGCAGCAACGACTGTCGCAACCGAGGGCTGGGCTCGCTGCCATTGCAGCGGTAAGTCCCCTCTTTGAGGAGTGGCTTGAGAGACGCTACGGCGTCCTCACCTACCGCCTGACGCAGGTCCTCACCGGACATGGAAGTTTCGGGAGGTACCTGTGTCTGATGGGGCGGGAGGAAACGCCCGGGTGTCATCACTGCGAGGACCGCCCTGAGGACACGGTGGAACACACCGTAGCGGAATGCCCTGCGTGGGCTGAGCACCGCCGTGCCCTCAGGGAAGTGATCGGCGATGGCGACCTCTCGCGTCCGGGCCTAGTGCAGGCCATGATGCGGAGCGAGGGGGACTGGGATGCCGTCTCCTCCTTTTGCGAAGCAGTCATGCTAGCTAAGGAGGAGGCGGGACGCGTGAGGCAGCGAAGCGCTGCCTCCTCGCGACCCAGCCATCGCGAAGGACACACCGGGCGTCGGGGATCGCGGGACGATCTCCGGCCACCGTAAGCGCGGGCCTGCGGACGGCGAGCATGGGTGGCTCCCCGTCCGACCAGAAACAGACCCGAGCGTGCGGCGCGTCGCGTTCCGCGCGCGCCTCAAAGAGCCATCAGACCACCACAGATGGGGCCCAATAGGGCCGATGCCGATTCGGAGTCGCGGAGAACCTAACGGGTAACCGGGGCTCCGGCTCGACGTGCAGGAGAAGGAACGGGGTGGTTTTTAGTCAGTAAGAGTCTGACACTCCCTTCCGCCTCACCCAGGCGGGAGCAGTCATTCGATGATTTTCCCCCCTTAAAAAAAAAAAAAAAAAAAAAAAAGTAGAATTTTATAGTTTATACAATAAGACGACGTGCATAGGTACTACTTACATTTTAATTAATTAATAACACATTTTCACCACCATCACATCATTTGGATAACGCCAAACGATATTTCAGTGCGTATTGTGCCTAAAAATACGAACTACGTTTAGTAATAACCTTTTATAATAAAAATCTTATTCATTAAATTAAAATTTCTTTTATTAAACCCAGTTTGTAGGTAGATAAAAGTAGAGGAGGAAGATAAGTAATTCGAGAAAATTCCAACTTTTCGTTCAATTTTAATTTTGTTTTAGAGCCAGGCTTGGAGGCAGCTTACGGGGCCGCTATTATCTCAGCCATTTTATCTCCAATGTAATCTTGTTAAGAGTCCCCTCTCCCCTCACACCCGTACCTCGGAGGGAAGCAATAATGTTGAAATCCCCCGGTTTTCGGCGCTTAAACTAAGCCAAGCATTACCGTGGATTCCATAGCAAAATTAGTATTTGTTTACACCTAGCTATTTACTTAGATATTAACTCGTCGAGTACCGGTTTTATAGACACAATTAAAGAACAATAGGTCGCGGTCACCGGTGACCGCTTGGTGTTTGACAGTTTAATAAAGGAACAACCTCCTTTTGTCTACATATACCTATGTGCGTATAAACTGGGGCTATGTATTACTGAACTATAATTAGGAGGAAGAGTACATTTTTGTACTTAAATAGTTGTTTCCTATATAGTAAAAGTAATAAGGTTTAAGGTAACTACCCTTCGGGAATTCAAACCCAGTTAATCAATATTTCAAAGAGAATAAACGTTAAAAAATTATTTCATAGATAAGTAACGATCGGTATAAAACTTTCTTAATAATCAATCATTGCCTAAGCTCTCCGCATAGGCTCTCCGTAAAACTCTGTGAGAACAAAATGACAAAGTCATTTACGTTTGTTTTGACATATCTGCCATAATAATCTGTTATTGTTATAGGTCGATACTTTACAATTTATTTATTCATTTACATGTTGTTAGATGTGCACTGTGTTAAATGCATACAAATGCAGGGTATACTTCTGATAATGGTAAAAAATATCGAATACCTACAGTGAGTACATGTTGTGGTTGCGTCACAGATTTAAAAACGGCAGTGGCTATTATTGCAGTCCTCGGTATAGTGCGTATCTGGTTTTTTAATGTGCTTAATGTATGCTTTTAGCTTTTAAATTGCGAAGAATATAAAGGTTATATCGTGAAACTCAACTGCATTTATACGTTACACCTTATAGCTGCTATTTTGGTTATACTTGCAACTTAATATACATGTGTTACTTACTAGCTTTTACCTACGGATTTACCCACGTGAATATCCTGTATCCTTCTCCGTACTCCATACTATGTTATACAAAATTTTAATTTTTTTTTTTATTATTCTTAATATGTAGATATGGCCTTTTTTTGAGGGGTCAAAATCATACAATGACTTCTCCCACCTTGGGTTAGGCGGGAGGGAGTGTCAGACTCTTGCTGACTAAAGAGCATACCGTTCGTACTATGTGGATATGACATGATATGGCCTGAACAAATAAGAAGTAAACAAACTCACTTTCTCATTTAGGTATAGCTAGAATATGTATGTAGAGTTTGTATGTAAATAGGAGCAAAAGTTAAGTTATACCTATGTACATTATATTTAATTAATTTTGCTTGGCAGGTAACCAGCCCATCGGTATCGTGGGCGATCGTACGACACGCTTTTGTAATACGAGTGTCGTGCTATGTGACCACCAATGCAGAGCAGGCAGATGTAGTTGATGTTAACCTTAACAACATTGTAAGTTTTAATAGTTTTATAGTGTTATTATATATCTCTGTGAAATGATATGAATTTAAAAGTAAAGTGTATTGATGAAGAAGCGAAAGGGGTATGTAGGAATCATAGTAATTGGCGTTCCATAGTCTCTGCCTACGCCTATGGGAGACAGGCGTGAAGTTATGTATGTATGTATATATTGATGAAAAATATTCCGACGAATTGCTTATCTGTTTCAAAAGAAATGGTTTTGAAGTCAAATGAAACGTTTTTTTTCTTAAGAAATAAAACAGTTATAATAGGTTGCGAAAAGACCAAACACATTTTATAGATGGTTTACAAATGCAACTATTTATATTTATTTTTTTCTGTCCACAGTTAAGTTTTGGTTTCGGCGCAAACGCTGGTCTAGGCCCATCATGTTTGTCTTCGAAGAATAAAACTAGATCTCAAACAATGATGCGTTCCGGTGAACCGGAAGATTTATCTAATAATGTATTAGTAAAAACAATTCGGTATATGGGCTGGGGTGTATTATTTACCGACTTAGCCTTCCTAGTTTTCAGTGTCAATTTTCTTATAAAAATATTTAGGGTAAGTTATATTTCAATAAGCTCTGTCACGAGCTTTGTGACGCTTTTAATGTACCTACACTTAAATAAGAAAAGGCGAAAAAACAATTTTATTAAATAATCCCAGACAGAGCAAAGAATATGCAAACATATTTTTGTACCTTATTTAAATATAAATAAATAATAGAGGTACAAAATGCTGAAGACTTAATTGAGTGGAGTCCAATAACTGAAGACGTCTATGTCCAGCACCGAAGGAAAACAGGTTGATAACAAACAACGTGGATGATAAAAAAATCATAAAAGCTATGAATTTTAATCTGGGTACCTGCTAATGATTTTCAAATATTTCAGCCTCCAGACCGAAAGGCAATGAAACAATTTATGATATCGTGTGTTATAACAATATTAGCTTCGTTTATGTTTGGAATGTTGTATGTCGGCGCATGCATGAAAATTGGGGGAGCCTTCCCTATATTCGAAATTGTGTTCACTTTCATCGATTTAATAAGTAAGTATTGACATTATTATTATTCTTTCAAAGTAACAAAATTAGTTACATACTGGCAACAACAAAGATCCCGTTGTAGTTCTAGGTATATCTATATACTGTATACTATAAGAGTACCTACTATATATATTTACTTTAAGAGTTCTAAATCTAAATTCCAGAAAATATTAAAAGTTGCTTAATAAAACAATAAGAGCGCTCGCCAACGGCAACTTTTTGTAGCTGTGCAGTAACGATGATGCATCTACAATGTAGATTCTACATCGTAGTCGCTAAGTATAAATAAGTAACATAAGTTAGTAGCGATGCTGTCGCAGCTTTTAGTGAGCGGACAACAACATATCGCTACAAAAAGTCGTCTTGGGCAAGGGCCCTAAATGTTACTAAAATATTCACTTGCAAGTTTAGAATTTTTGTGGTTTCGTAAATTAGCAGATTTAAGCACGTAACATAACATAACATCACGCCTTTTTATCCCCGAAGGGGTAGCCAGAGGTGCACATTACGGCACTTACTGCCACTGTACAATGTAACACCTACTTTAACTAATTATGTTATGAGTTCCACGTAATAGGGGGTGAGCCTATTGCCATTTCCAGACTCCGCGCTACTACTGAGATTTTTTTAAAAACCCAGTAATACTTTGCCCGACCCGGGAATCGAACCCGAGGCCAACGAGGCAGTCAGATTTAAGCAACATGTGTAATTCATATTATTTATGTATTATTGAGATAAGATTGAGACTAGAGCTGGTATATAAGTACCCATGTACGTCTGTATGTGAAATAGACCACGTAGAGAAAGTACCTAGTTCACTCCTCTGAGACCTAAAAGCCATGTGTAGTAAAACAGGTCATAAAGTTGAAACTGCTGGCTTACCGCGTGTAAACTGCATCTTACATGCGATGCAACCTTTAGTACTGAAACTTTAGCTTTTGGTTAATGGCTGCCTCGTACTGGAGAAAATGTACAAAAAGATCGTCTATTTTTGTTTAGATTTCTTATCTTATTTTTTTTATTACGAATTCTAATCAGTATGTGTTCTAATCAGACTGCGAAAAACTGTCAACGCACACTTCACTCTCTGTCTCAACTACAAAATAATGTAGATTGTCTTCGGTACATTAGGTTAGGTTACTATCTCATAAGTAATTTTATTTTTCATTATATACATTTTATTGACCATTAGTAAAATGAAAGCATTACCAATGAACTAAAACTTACAATGAGTAAAATAATTTATATCAATTTTATATATTTTTCTTTTTTTTTTCAGCCTGGTCTTACTACCTATTAGTAGTTTATTCTTACAAAACTTCCACTTCCTGAAATTAAGTCGATAGCTGTATGAAATTATGTACCTATGCGTGGATTTGTATTGGTCAAATGTGCCGAAGTCAGTGAAGAGTTTAACAATAGGATCTTGTTTGTAATAAGAACGAAACAATAATTTTATGTATTTATAATTTTTAGGATTTATAAAAATGTTTATTTTTATGTTTGATGTTTCATTTTGTTTAATTAATGAATTTCATTTTATTGTATACCAAAATAGCCAATACAGACAGACATGCAGACACAGACAGACGAAAATTGTAAAAATTGTATTCTGCTATGAGTATCGTATGAATATTCATATGTATGTAGTTTAAAGCGGTTGATTTAATATTACAAACAGATAGGTACTCCAATATTATTTATGTCTATAGATGTTCAAAAAAAAGCCTGCCGGTTTTTAATTGATTTCATGAAATTCTGCCTTACCACGCCAAAAAGACTAATCACAAAAGTTCTGAATCAGTAATTCTATAATTCATGAAAAACCACAACTCATTGTCAACGACTTTACTCATTTTGACTCACCACTGTCATTAATGACATGTAGGTATCAAAATTACACGAAAGTTTTGTAACTGAAAAAGATTGTAAAAATCGTCTTATTTATGAATCAAGTTTACAGAGTTTTACATTATAAATCTAATCATGTTATTATTCAGCTAGAAATGAAATTACCAAACTTGTAACCATGGAGTACTTGCCGCTACCAAAGATGAAACATTGCTGTTATTGCACTAGGAAATTCAGATTAGCATGCATCTTGATATCTATTTGGAGTATGGTGAGTAGACATATAATGTTAAACATAATCAATTACAGGAGTGTCCAAAGTGGGAAGAACAAAAGCTTGTTGAATATTGTTTTCACGTACATAATAGAAAGCACCCAAAAGAATGAAAACCTAATTAAGGTAGAGAACTAAAGGTAATGGATCGTGTTAGGAATGATATGAACGAGAAAGTATTTAGTGAAAAGATGATGATGTAATAAGGGAAAAAGGGAGCATATTTATAAAAATGCACACCCCAAATAACTTGGAATAAGAGCGTAAGGAACAAGAAATGTTCATGTTAGCAACGGGTCGAAACATAAGTGCCATTAGGAAACGGCACAAGCCTTCCCATAGATCCCCAAGCGGTCATCGGTGACCGCTCTCCACTAATATTACATTACATCATAAACCTTATTTCCAATGTTTAGAGACTACTTTTGTATGACCAAATTTAGGGGATGGATTTCAACGGGTTAACAGAAGCTTAGACATTTTCAGACCTAATACGAAATACTTAATGAGACTATTATGTATACTTGACCAAAAAATCATATAAAATATAATAATGAAGATTAGAAATTATAATTTTATGTTTGATTTTTTACATGAGTAGATAAATAAAAGGGTACAACCATCTCATGTTCCACCTTTCCACATAAGAAAACATTTTCTCTTTGTTAAGATTGTGCACACTTTTTACTCACAAATTGATTGATTACTCATTAAAAACAAATAATTTATAGAAAATATGGTTTATGTGCGAATTTTCTTACCTTTCACTATTGATCCTTATATTCTGTTTTATGGATAGCAACTTTATTAATCAAATAGATAGATGTGTATGTGAAATTGTATGTTTATAATCTTAGTGTGAGGCAACGTCTTAATTTAAAAAAAAAAAAACAAAAAAGATGTGCCGGGAATAGAAAAATATGACTGAAGCTCTTTGTAGCTTGGTAAGCAGTTTGCAGTTTTTATTAATGATTTTGTTTCTTCCTGATATAGCTATCAACTGCCCATAGTATTCGGATCCTGTTCTGTCCAGTTTGTACCAAGATTTATACACGAGAAGGCGGTGTACTCTACATACCTATGATTATCATAATGTGGATATTACTTCTCGTCAATGTGGTGTTATTGTCCTGCAGCTTTTTCTTTTTGCTTAGCCTTTTTTTGGTAAGGTTCTTATTACTTTGAGGGTGCTTTTCCACCACAGATGTACTATGCTACGTTGCTGTGGATGCGTTTGGAATCTACCAAATCATATTACTTGGTACACAAAGCTTAGCATTAGTGAAAACGGATGCAACTAAGATATGTATTTATATGGAAGGATGTGTGCTATGAATGTATGTTATGAATGTGTGCTATGAATGCGTGCTGCCTTCGCTGCTTCCCTACTATCGGTAGTTCGGTGCATTGCACAGCTCGAGCTGCGCATCTTCCTCGTGTAGTTACTTTGTGGCGGCGCATTTTCATAGCAAATCTTACTCGCAATGTAAGTCGCACCGCTACATAACTTAGTACTAGTGGAAACGGTCACATAGTTTCATAACATCCTCGCAGCACAGTTACATAGCACATCTCTGGTGGAAAAGGGTCTTAGATATATCTTAGATGTATGGTTAAAGACATTTATTAAGTTGATTCTAAGTATATTATTTATTTAACATTAAATTAAAAGCACTACTTTTTCTCTAATATTATAAAAACATGTATTGCAATATTCATTTAATTATTTAAAATCTTGTAATAAAGAATCTATGAATGTTTTTTTTTGTTTTTCAGAAGGCTTATCCAGTAACATTAGACCTGTTCATGATATTTGGTTTCGTATCAGCCATTTTGATGGTAATCCATGGTGCGGTCACTATAGCTCAAATAATTGGTTCTGATTGTAATAACGGAAGTGATAGTGTTGCTCACTTCTTCTATGCTATGTGTTAGTATGCCATATACCTATGTATTGTATAGTATTATTGAACAAAACCAAGTATTTTCCTTTTGACCTTAAATCATTGATGAACTGCAAAATCTCGAAGCTACAAATACCTCTACGTGTTCACTTTTTTAAATCATAATTATTATAAATTTATAAATGATGAAAGGCAGTATATTAAATTAATAATATTATAGATACCAGTATTTTTGAAACGATCCCCATCTTTTCAAACGCTCCAGTTATTTGTAGTTCCAGATCACATATTCCTATCAAGGGATTCTTATTTTTGGTTTTTGTTTTCAGTGTGGGCGTACTTTATACTCATTGTGAACACGTATAGACCGCAGATGAGGTGTGTCCCTGGTGAGCTTGTGGATGTTGAAGATGAAGACGAGAAAAATGGCGAATTGCCAGGTACTCCAAGTGGTGCAAAGAAATACCAAGGTCATATGAACACCCAATTGAGACCTTAACACTGTCATATTTTTTCACAAGATAGATGGGCACATAGGTTTCTTATTGAAACACAGCATTGTTGACTTTTTAGTTGGGCTAAGTAAATGTTATTGTTAATGTTATTTGGTTATTAAATGTGTTATCAAGAGTTTCTAAAGTGATATTTTATTTTTATACTGTGGCGACACATGTCACAAATCAACGGGTGACGTCACAAGAATCCTACATCGCACATGCAAAGTTTACAAGCGAATAAACATGGATAGAAAAACCCAACGAACAACTGTTGGGCAGAAAGCCCGCCAGGCACGATCACCTCGCGTGGCCGGAGGGCTTTTCCGATCTTAGGGAACTTTCCACTTTGTTCCCTAAAATACTTTGTTCCCTTAAATATTTCAGTGGGTAATGGACTATTGTGATTATTTCAGAATTTGTAGTCACTTCCCTAGCCTTGTTAAATCTACTCAGATTTATCTTATAGGCTTAGGTTACATACAAAACGGTCATAAAGTGTACCGATAACTCTTTCAATAAGAAATAAATCATGAATAAATCAAGTCCAGATGAGTGATAATTTAGTCTATTCCCCATTCCACAAACACCAGAAATCAGAAAACTGATACCTATTATGACATTTTTGACATTCAATTGTATACATGTCACTTACACAAGTTATGTTTGCAACTATAATATTTACATAAAAAATTTAAACTAAATGAAATTCCTCAGATTTGTGCCACGTGTGCAACTATGTTGTTACTGTATCAAATTAAAAATAGGTTGCATTATTATAGCTGCAATACACATCATTTTTGTCGTAAGTTTAATTTTCTTCTCCATACCAGCTAATACTACTAATAATACTCTGAGCGCAACTCAACAGAGTTCCAGGGCTTTAATTTAATTTAATTTGACTTTAAGCTTAAGTAACGTATTTACAGAAAATAATAGAACCAAAACATGTTTGCAGGTTGAATCCTTTTTAAATGTCGGAGGAAATGATGAATTCAGTAGATGTTACACTTCTAAAACTCTAACGAGATTGATAAGTTATGTTTCCCTCCTCATTTCTGTCACATTAATCGCCGCCATCGCATATTTACTGTATGGTATATACAAAGTGAGTAACCAAACGTTTTTGTTTTAAATTTTTTTTATTATTCATAACATAAACATAACATCACATTTATCCCGAAGGGGTAGGCAGAGGTGCACATTTTGCCACCGTACAATGTAACACCCACTTTTCACTATTTATGTTATGATGAGTCCCATGTAATAGGGGGTGAGCCTATTGCCATATACCGGGCACAATACCAGACTCCGTGATACTACTGAGATTTTAATTATGGAATCAATAATTAATCTTCTATATAAATTAAAATGAATTGCCGTTCGTTAGTCTCACTAAAACTTGAGAACGGCTGGACTGATTTGGCTAATTTTAGTTTTGAAATGTTCGTGGAAGTGCAGGGAAGGTTTAAAAGGTGTGAAATTTTTTTAGGCGGTATGAAGTTTGCCTGGTCAGCTAGTCTTTAATAAATTCAATTTTAATTTACAGAGTATAGCCGAACCAGTGTTGTGGTTCATGTACATCACAATAGTATTATTACTTTACAATATATTTATTAGCCTTCTTTTATTTACCTCCAATAAAAGTGAGAAAGGTTGTTCTCCAGGCTACGTTTTGGGTGGTGTAACGTTGCTAGCAACACTTTGTAAGTATGACCAACAACTTTTTAAAATAATGTAACGTAACATAAAGGTCCTTTAATTTGCTAATACAATAGTTACAAAATTTTACAACACTGATTTCATAGTTACAGTTTTTTATTAGTGTTGTTTGTTTAATTTTAACTATGAACTTATGAAATCAGTGTTATACAATTTGGCAACTATTTCAATTGGCAATAGCAGACTAAGATTCCAGTAATTCGATTTCCTGATGAATTGTCTTAAAGAGATTAAAATGGTATAATAGAAAAAGAAACAAGAAATTTATTTATTTTCAGTACAAGTGTACATTTTACTAATACTGGCCAATTACTATCGAGAATTGCAACCGCCGCCGGAATTGACTCCTTCCAAAGGAGTAAGTCCACGGGCATCGATTTCTAGTAAAGATAAAGATAAAGATAAAGATGAAGATAACGACAAAGAAAAAGATATAGATACAGATACAGATACACATAAAGATAAAGTTAAAAATAAAAATAAAGATAAACAACGGACGTCAATTTTAATAAATGAAAACAAAACCACATCATAAGTAATTTAGTGCTACAATATACCCTGAAACTATGTTAGTGGCTATGACTTTATATATATATTTATTTTATTTTATTTTGATAAGTGTGTATTAAACATTTTTTATAATGATAAGTGTTTGTTTTTTTTTTATACTTCCCCTATTCTCTTTGTGTGACGCTATTAGGTACCTATTGGTACTCATCTACCGACTATAAATGCTCAAAATTAAATACCAATTTAAAGCGAGTACCACACTTTTCATCATACCGAAGGATGAAATAATACGCATGTGACACCAAAATAAAAACTGTACCAGCGGATTGACCAGAAAACAGAGACATGCTGACCAAAATAAAGGTAGTCGATAATGATAGAGAACCGATGTGAAAGAGCCCTACTCTTTCAGGGGTTTATGATAGAGGACAATAATATCTAGTAGATAGTAGAAAATAATTGAAACTAGCTTTTACCCGCGGCTCCGCTCGCGTCACAAAAGGATAAAAAGTAGCCTATGTGACATATACCAATACACACAGCGCCATCTATACCAATACTTTTGTTTTCCCTCGGATATATCAAATTTTTCCGGGATAAAAAGTACCCTATTATTTAATCCAGACTTCTAACCTTACCTCTGCAAAATTTCAAAGCAATCGCTTCAGTAGTTACGTCGTGAAGGCGGAACAAACAAACAAACTCACTTTCAGATTTATAATATATAAGTAATAAGTAATTGAAACTAGCTAAGCAGCAGCTAGTCAGCTAGCTAACTTGGATAGAATGTGGTCTATGTGTTATTCCGGTCCACCTTCTTTATATGTTCTGTGTTCCGGTCCATAATCTACCTCTATACTAAATTTCATCTCGATCCTTTCAATCGTTTTGACATGAAAGAGTAACAAAGACACTTACGTATGTACATCCTTAGAAATTTTCGAATTTATAATATTAGTAGGATTAAGAATATGTATGAGGTATGTAGGAATCGTAGTAATTGGCGTTCCCTAGTCTATGCCTACCCCCATGAGAAACAGGCGTGAAGTTATGCATGTATGTATGTATGTAGGATTAAGACCCTAAGTAGCTTGACTTAAGGCCTGAATGATAGTCATGAATTACTATGCCTTTGTATACCTATGTGACTTGGTGAACGCAATAAGATTAATTAATGCATCAAAGCTTTTGATCGAGTTTTAAAATCATATCGATTGAATTGTTTGGATGCCTTAATTTAACATTTTTATTTTTTAAAAGGCTTGTTCTCTTTCTCAGCAATACCTAAGGCCGGCTTTAAAGTGCTTCACTTTTTTCTATTTTTTTCAATGTAAATGTCTTAGTTTTTAGCATATTAGTTTAAATTAATTTCAAGTACCTAGTATATATATTTTTAATTTCTAATTAAGGAAGATAATCTATGTTTGCAAATTAATGTTGTACAAATTTTCTTATTGATTATGATTCATATAACATTACTCATCTGAAATTTATTTATTTATTTATTTTAATTAAATAGTATAACAATAACATTACAGTCATAAAACCAAGGCGTTATACATTTCAAATAATTATAAAAAGAAAAAAAACAAGGTTTTATGGTACACCTGTCATTCTGTATTGGCTATTTGCCAAATTATGATGTCAAATTGTGATTACAGTAGTTCTGTACCGTTTTATTAATTCATGTTTTACCGTAAATAAAGGTTTAACCGAACCTTATTATTGTTAGAAGCTACAAACACAACTTTATGTGAAATATCAATTTTAACGAACAAAGCTACCAAATGACATGTCTATGTTTTCACAGGACTTTCAATCTGTGAAATTTTACATCTTCGATAATTTACCAACTTTAGAAACATGTTGCTTTTGTATGAATTTAAAAATTGGGTGTATGATTATAGGAGTAGTCTATATACTTTTTGTTGTAAGTATACGCATGTTACGGTTAAATAACATACACTTTCTGTACACAATTTTACACAAATTCTCGTCCCAAAAATTCTTGTAGTGAATCAAGTCAACACAAAGCTTATTGATTATTATTTTTAGCTTGAAGCCTTTGGAAGCATTACTTTCAGTAGCGAATATTCACAATGCTACTTTGCAGGAGCAATTTCGACCTTTATTGGTTGCTCAGCCGGTCTAGTTTGTTTGGTTACTGCAGTATCAGCAGGCCTATTCCTTTATGGAGTTTCTAAGGTACATTTTTCTTATCCTTCAAATTACTTGGAAGTAGGTACTTTTTGTTACATTAAAAGTAGCAATACCTACGTTATTGATACGTGTTGAAATAAAATCAATACAGTATGTAATATTATCTTTTTAAGATTGTAACATAACATCGCGCCTTTTATCCGTGAAGGGGTAGGCAGAGGTGCACATTATGCCACTGTACAATGTAACACCCACTTTGTGTAGGCCCATGTAATAGGGGGTGAGCCTATTGCCATATACCGGGTACAATTCCAGACTCCGTGCTACTACTGAGAATTTTTTGTAAACCCAATAATACTTTGCCCGACCCAATCGAATTCGAAACCCGGCAATCGTACTTGCGGCCATTCGGGCAACGAAGCAGTCAAGATTTAAGAAGATTTAAGAAGTTAAGATTGTAGTACCCACTAAATAAGGATTAAGAAACTCCTATTCAAGTTTTACTTAGTTCTCACTTGGGATGTTGAATTGGAGTTGTATTCATTTACCAGTAGTACCTATGTCCAATTGGGTTATAAATCAAAAAAGTTACGATAGTCACACATTCATACAAGATAAAATTTGATTTCATAAAATATGTTACCTACACTTAATTGTTATATAATTTCCAGGAACAATATCAGTTTCACATTCCGTTTATGTATACAACATTATTATTAGTTGTTTTCAATCTGGCTACTAGCGTTGTATCAACGTTTACCAAGAGTTGTGCGAGACCGTACCTTTTTGGAGGAGCGACTTTTGCTGGAGCTGTATGTAAGTTTTTTTTTTATAAAAGACTAGTATTTCTAACCGATTTCAAAACAAGGAGGCTCTCAGTTTGACCTTTATGTATGTGTGTGTACCAAAGAAAAGGGGTGCTGCAGTCGGATTTTAAACGTAGTTTATGGAATAAAATAATTGTTAATAACCTATATGTCGTGGGAAATGTTTAAATTCATAATACCTAGGTACTTACTATTATTCTATGTTTGCTCTGTCTGTGGTAAAATCTATACTAATATTATAAAGCCGAAAAGTTTTTATTTTTATTGTTTGTTTGAACGCGCTAATCTCCGAAACTACTGGTCCGATTTGAAAAATTTTTTTTGTGTTGGGTAGCCCATTTATCGAGAAAGGCTATAAGCTATAAAATCTTACGCTACTATTAAAAGTCGCCGAGCAGAGCGAGTGAAACCACGCGGAAGTAACTAGTATAAAATAAAGCTTGATTTGGCCACATCTCTGTCGTCCGCATACACTCTCTATAATAACAGTTTTGTTAAAAATAACTCTCTATCTCTTTCAGTGCTAATTTACTGTCTCCTAATAGTGAATAGTCATTATAAAAAGTCATTCGCTCAGGGACCATCGTCTGCCAGCCGTGCTCCTAGCTCTTCAACAACGCCTAGATCAAATGATACTCCTAAGACCGTTCTGACAGCTGAAACAAATACGGAACCTACCGCCTTTGAAGCTGGTACCACCGTACCGTCATTCGAAAGCGGGAAGTCAGTTAAAAAATAAACTCAAAGAAAATTAACTAAAATATACAGTATTGAACTTCGTTTTTATGTTCGTAGTTGAACGCAGCATCGTTTTTTTGTCCTGTAACTACTTTATTGGTACTAAGTATACAAACTATGTTATATTATTAAAATATATCTACTTATTTATAGAAAATTGATTATTTTTTATTTGAGCTATCCTCGATCTTAAGCATGTTGTGTGTTAGGGTATAAAAGTATGTACACACACAGACTCGTTCAGTAATTTTGCTGATGTTCTCTCAGGATATCATAGATCAAAAACAAAATCCTAAATATTCTAAAATTTTCACACATAGTAGCGTGAGCATAAGCAAATTTGCACCTAAAGATTACCAGAAGACTTATTGTAAAGCTCAAGATTATTCGGAGGGACTCTTAAGACCCGAACCGCTGACAGAGGCCCAACGTTACACCCATATTTTAGTTGGCTATTATTGGACAGTATCTTGGAAATGTTAATTAAAGGGGTCTGTAGATCGGTCAAAGCGACCGCCCTGCTCATTAAGGTGGATACCTGGCATCAGCATAAATGTCACGCGATGTGGAAGATTTAATTATCGCTTCACGGCCGACCCACCGCAGTGGTCCAGTAAAAGGGTTACGTCAGGCAAGTATACATACTATAGAAAGTAATTGTGTTTATACTCCTATCTACGTAAGTACTTACCATCCTACAGTATGCAAGGTTCCTGTTGAAGGTTTCTAAATCCAGGGTCTCGAGATGAAGGTTGTTCATGATTTCACTCAATTAATTGCATTTCAGATTTAATTTATCTATAAATATTTTCCTGTAGGTACTAGTTATAACCACGCAATAAAATGATGTGGTCGGTATTAGCTACCACTTTCAGTCACTGATGTTACTGATTTCTATGAAATACAAACGTGTTCATACATAAAAGATGACTATACATAGATCTACTTATATTAACAAAAAAGAAAAAGACCACAAAAAGAATTCTTCAACAACGATAAATTATATTTTACGTCCCGAAATATCTAACGAAAATTATAGTCTGTATCTACGTGAAACATTTGTATTTTCAAAGAAAAATATCTCCCTCACGTTTCGTCCCCGGTGGGGACGTAAAAGAAAAGTATATAAATGTAAAAAGAAAGTATAAAAGAAAGTCACTTCCCTGAGATAGCATTTCTTCGGTGGCTCGACGGCTTTTATTACGTCAAGCACGTGACGCGAACTGGGAACCCGCCTTTGAATTCTCTTAGGTATTAAGCTAGCTATGTGCAGAATGTCGCTTAGTAAGGCCCTTTATGTAATATTATACTGAATTTATATAGCGACAGAGTCTCATTTTATTTAAATTGTGATGTGGTGATGTCATGCAACCGATGTGTACCTATATCGTTGGCTTTTTGATTATATACCTATTTGATTTACTCTTTTAGGTCTAGGTTATCTACCTAGTAATAATTCAATCCTTTAAACTATGTAGGTATATAAATAATTTCAATCAAAGAGAATTATTACGCAATAATAGATAATAATAAATTAGAAAACCAACAATAAAATGAAGAGAAAATAATTTTAATTTTCCCAGCTTCAGTAAATCCGTGGGTATTACCTTAGTCTAGTTTTAAACAAAGACCCTTACAACCTTCAGATTAAATAGAACATCTCGCCAGATCTTACACAGTGGTGTAAGTATTTATTTATTTTATTTATTTATCTTTATATCACAAAGGTAAGTATTTTATAATTTACCTTAAGCCCCTTAAAACCGTTGCAATGGTTTGACTGTGTGGTCGACTAGATGTACTTAAAATAGGGAACATTCTGCTTCTGATTTTCTTTAAATCATAATGCAGTGGTAACATGTATTGGGAAAATTCATAGCAAATTATTACACAAGTCCAAAAATGCAGTTCCCAACAACATAAATTTGAACCTGGGCTAAGCCCAGAACCCTGATACAGGACAATGACAATCAAATCAAGACAGTTTTAACATTACATAAGATTACATTTATTTTAAAAACTAACCATTTGAGTCACAAATTGTATCACAGCAGAGATTTTTGTAACAAAAATAGATGTTTCTGTTCAAGTATCTGAGGCGGGCACAACGTCTGCTTTGACCGAGGGATATTTTTACAACAGGGGCGTCGAACTCCTACACACATCATCTTACTTCTATTTTGTTTGTTGACGGCGCAGACAAACGATACGACCCCTAGGTAACAAGGTTGGGATGAGAATAACCGCTGAGTAAGTATTAATTGAACGAAAAATCTTTTTTCGACGGTTTTTCACTTGTATATGCTTTGGTTAGTGTGTGTAGGTACATGCAAATTATACGTAGCAGAAATAGGCCTTAATTTTGTGGTTTACACAGGTTATCTGAGAACTTCTTTAAAGGCCAGGAATTAAGCAAGGAAGCCTCTACTTTTGAAACACGGAATTCCTAGTTTCATTAAAATTAAATACGTCTGTAAATCCCACATTACACTGCTACTGTCTTCGTACCTTTTAGTCGATAAGTCATAATTCCTAGACACCAACGAAGATGTCTGCAAAACTACAATAAACTAGTTTCTGACACGACTTTTTAGATTAAAAGATTGATAGGTAGGCACAACAGCATAATTTTGAATTTATTTTCAGAGCCACGTCCTGTAAAGGATTCTATTCAGCACAATAAATTCAAAATAACCCGACATTGTGTGTCGTTCTGTGTGTGAACGTATAATGTAATGGTATGCATGACAACAAAGCGGGAGGACAGAGGGATCCCTCGTGTTATTCATAACGGACATAAAAGCGACCCTCATCATATAAGGACATGTTCTACTTGGGGGCTGTGTGACCTATGCGTAGGACTTTGATATTATGCTTACCGACCCCGAAGATATAGTGTTATTATACTTGAATAAGTATGGAGGTATCGTACATATACTCTTGGCGAATGATTCAAAAGGCGCATGAAATGATTCTTTACCTTTGGTCCTATACAAAAAATATGATTAACTTATACAAATTGTTATCTAGGTATTCCTAAATAAATTTATTCGAGGTACTTACCTATAATGTAGTGTTTTGGTGCTTAAAAACTAACAGACAAAAGGAGGATATATAGTTATAATGAATTAAATTATGAAATAAGTTCTACATAAGGTAAGGTAAGGAACCTTTGCTATTTAACTTGGAATTTTTCAATTGTTTTAAATAAGTAGGTAACAGGTACATAAATGAATTAATTTGTATCAGAGCTAAAGCTATTTGAATGGTAAACTTACATAATATCTTTCTTTATTATAAACTTATACATATTTTTTGAATATATTAAACTTAAAACAACAATAAATATTCAGATACATATTTATGTTTTAAATGAATTCGTGTTAAATAGCTCCGACAATAGCAATGCTGAATCAAATAAGGTAGGAACCTATATAATTATATTTTTTTTAAATATTAAACCTAAGCCAACAAATGTTTAGATACCTATTTATTTTAAAATTGAACGTGAATTCATGATTAATGGCTCCAATGTTAGCAATGCTGAATCAAATTAGGTTTTAACTTTTCCGACGGCAATTTGCCGACGGCGCACGAACGAAGTTTTCACTTCTTTATAAGAAGGAAATACTGTTTTACTTTGGTGTTTTGCAGCATGAATAGATTTTATACCTTTGGAAATATTATTGATTTTAACTAATAATTTGGGACGTTTTTGAGTAGGTACCTAACAATTATAAATTTATCAGTTTTGGTATATAAAACATTTAGGGCCGATTTTTTCGACGCCAGGAGATTTTTATCAGAGAAGTTTGAATATTTGACAATTCTTATTATATTTCCCTTATTCTTCTCCTAATTCTTCCATACTGAAAACTATCAATTGTAATTTTTCTACAGTAAAAAATATTACCTGTTAATTTTAAAATCGGTTCTTTGATGTTAAACAATATTTAGGTTATATATACCTTTTTAAATATCGTATAGGTATTTATCATTTACGTATTTACTTAATTAAATTATTGTTTCAATTAGTTGCCAATTTAGATAATAATATCTCTGCCATGTTAGGTAGGAACTTGAAATATAATAACATAGTTATGTTAGATATGTTATAGGTTGAATAATCCTGAATGGCCTACTTAGGTTAAAATGTTAATAAAACAGTAATTATTCGAACTAAGGCTTTCGCGACCGACTTTTCGTATGGTTATTTAATATTTTTTTATATTCAATCTAGACAGCAGAAATAATTCAGACTAGTTTTCATTGTATAGCCATGATATAAAGTTCACATTTCAATTAATAACTACATAGCAAGGAGGTAAGACATCTAAAATATACTTAGATAAGGATTGCATAAAAATATAATAATGACTATAGTAATTACTAGTTGTCTACGTTAGTAATTTGTATAGCGCCATCTGTGTTTCGGTCGCGGTAAATGAAAACCAAGGCAAAGCGCATGCGCGAACAAAAATGGCTGCCGATCAATATGGGGTGAAACCTCCCTAACTCACCCCATTATGACAGTTTGCAAAAGAATCTGCAAGCTAAATTCACCCCTACGACTTTGTGATAAGATTCTTGAACAACAACGACGAATTTTAGATGTAAGTACCTATCTTTTGTTTGTTTTAGTAGATGGGTAGGATTCTCAATAGATATCTATTGGCTTTGTTCTTATGCGTTGTACTTACCTACTTGGCATCTAGGTATTTGTGACTGTAAAGTTAATGGTTTTTAAATCGCTGTCTCAAAATTTACTAAATTTTACTACTGTAGGTACTTACCTATAATGAAAACAGAGTGATATAGGTAAGCACTAGTTGGTCAAAAAAGCTTTATTTTGTTAAATTATTTAACCACATCTGAATTAATTTAGTAACAAAAGCAAGTAACATATAATTACAAAAATAATACTCTGTCCATTGATCTTTGTTTGTTACTGATTCGTAAGCGCATGACATTGTAAGTAAGTACATTAATAGTAATGTAGGT